ATTGGCTCCACGACAACCACAAGTCTCGAAACAAGTTTTACCTCAAATAACTCGTCTTTTTTACAACTTAATAAGGTGTTTGGTTTCTCAGTTCTATAGTATCAAACCATTAAGCGAGATATTTATTTAATAGATTTGTTTCATGTCGTGAGTATTTTTTTTTGGGTTGTTTTTCTACACATGACGATTATATAATTTTAAAAAAGAATAATGTTCATTCAGGCTTACAACCAGTCAGACATGTTCCGAAACGTTTTCCGCTTAATTCTCGACCGCCACCCAAGACCTTTTCTTTAAGCGCATATATATATATATATATATATATATATATTATTTTTTAACAATTTACAAGGCATAACTTCAATGAAAACAGCTAAATGAAATCTGCCTTGATTTGACATGGAAAATTTTAGAGCAAATTTTGGTCATGTTGATTAAATTAAGTTCAGAAAAAAATATGCATATATATTTAATCGACTGTCTGCTCAAAGTTCACGATATTCCCCTTCAGCCATTTGCGACACGGGGAATGTGATTACTTTTTTTACGAGCTTACGAAGGAATTTTTTGTCTTTAATGGCATCCATTAGCGACGGCGGCGTTTTCTACCCCCACTATTTTATCTGGCCCTCCAATTTTTTTTAACCCCATACATCGCTAAACGTTTCTTAGGGCACTACCCCAGCTCTTAGCGAGCTTTCTGTGAAAAAAATATAATTGTGATAATCTCGTTTTTTCACATGAAAAAATATTTTTATACAGCTTCCATTCACCCCACTCGTCGACTGAATCTTCTGAAAAAAATGGCCAAATTGCTGGCGAGTTTGTGCGTATTAGTCATGACGTTTAAACCCTGATACTGAAAATATTCTTGAAGATATATTAGTAGAAACTGAAGAGAGGTGACGGAGAAGCATGTCAAATATATATATATATATATATATATATATATATATATATATATATATATATATATATATATATATATATATATATATATATATATATATATAATTTGTTGTTAGTGGTGTTGCCTAATCTTTGACACAATGCAAGAGCGCGCCTGCGGTCGATAGGTAGCCCGGCTGCCTCTTGGCTGGGAGAGCTCGAAAAGTTAACGACCTGCTAGTCCAGACACTGGCTTTTTTTGTATGTATTTTCTGTACTTTGCGTTTTTGGCTTTTGTGGTATAGTTCTTTCTTTAATGACGTAATTTCAGGGGAGACAGTGTCAGCTCATTTTGCTGACAAGACTAGCGTTCCTCCCTCCGATGAAGTCTTCCCCTTCCTTTACCGCGCGAACCCAGTAGATATGGAACGACGAAGAGCGTTGCCCAACGATCCCGCCGTGAACGGTTTTGGAGGACGCACCATTGTGCTGGACCCTTTATTGTTGGCAAGACCGGGCTACTCCGCGATAGATCGCTTTAATTGCCCCCAACTCCCCATTGTTCCAGCGTGTTCAGCCGCACAGAGTTTCCCCAGCAACAAAATTCCTAGTCGTTGTGCATAAGGGAGATCCTTCCCCTCCTTCCACCCACGTCCCAAGTGTTATCGCTGACGCAAGCTTCTTCTCTGAAGTTTACCGCGATGGCGAGCGCCGATGGAGATCAAAGCATGCTTGTTCGCCTCTACCGTTAACGACTGAACTCCAGGGGGGTGTTTGGGGGATACTGGTCTTTATTTAGGCGACTTCCGGTCACCGCGACGGGGCCGCAGATCACTTCCGGTTCCGGTCGTGTTTAGGCTAATCGAAAAGAGTTTGTTGTTGTGAGTGGTGTTGATTCTGGTTTTGTCAACGAGTCTCGGGCGTCGACGTATATGGTTGGACAGGTGACGTGTAGTCACATTTGCGTACTATGGCGGCGGCCTGAGAGGGTTCACTTCCTGTGTTGACCGAAATCCCGGTTTTTCGCTGTAAGCCCCTCTACCTCGTTGTTTTCACGCGACCTCTGCCAGGGCGATCCCCAAATTAATACAGCAAAAATGTGACGCAATTTTTTGTATATTTATACGTGAGCAAAGCAGTGCCTGAATTACGTACCATAACTTGCTAACAAAGAAAAAAGAAATTGCCCATTGTGGCAGGTGCGACCATTGATAAATTTCTCCCTTTCCACTCACTGCTTTTACACGTAGTTCAACTGTCTGCTTCCGCCAATATGACCCACTGTCGCGGTAATTTTCTAATAAAACTCCTAAGTACTTAACTGGCGTGAAAATCCAAAGAATGTTTTCAAATAAGCTATATAAAAAATTCCAGTCGCCATCCCAGCAAACATATACATTTCTGCGGATATATAGCACTTCCACGATATTTTTAAAACTCTTTGACAATCTTCACTGGCTCAGTTATATTATATTTGCCTACTTTAAATAGGGCAAAATGATAGGCATAGGCCAACACTCGTATCTCGCATGCCTGCAGTTTAAATCTACGAGCAGTGTAAATCTGCGAGTCAGACTATTTTTGTCTGCACGAAGTAGGGCAATATCATTGGCATGTACCAACACTTGTATTTCTAATGCTTGCAGTGTAAATCAACGAACAATATTGCGATTCAATATTTTTAAACAGAAAGATTCAATAAAGGTGCAAAAGAGGAGGGTTGACAGAGGACAACCTTGGCGCACAAAACGGCCAAATTCAATCCGTCCACTTACTATTTTGTTAATAATACGATTTTATGAAACACCTTCTGTAAGCCAGTTGTAATTCCTCAAGAAGGATCGATCCAACATTTATATGCGACAGTAATATATAAAGACGTTCAAGCGAGACCTTATCGAAGGTTTTTTTGCAAATCAATTTGGAGCATGGCAACAACTCTGGGCACGCAATCCTAGCATTCAATATTATTTCTAGCTTTGCGTATTTGATATACTATTGTGTGTCCTTTTACTCCACATGCTTGGTGCGACCGATAACAACTGTAATGACAAACTACAACGAACTAGCTAATATTTTCATTGGTATTTTATAATCAACGTGTGTAAAACTGATCGGATGGTAAACAGATACTCGCCTCAGTTTTATATTGTCGTATGCTTTAGAAATCAGACAGACATGTGCATGTGTAAGGGATTTAGGCATAGTGCTTGTTCATATTATTCGCAATATATTTGACATAGTACTGAACTGATTTACGCCGTAGCGTTAACCACCCCTCTTATATATTTTATATATAAGGTTTTGGTAGTACCCGATGTCCACTGCACGCGCTCTCTCAGAATAAAAATGAATAGCCAATAACAAACTGCCGCTGTAGCACTGCCAATGTCATGAGCTCGTGGCGGAAGACACGTTTCACGCGCTCCGAAGAAAGAAAAAAGGAAAGAAACATTCGGAATTAAATAGTACTAAGTCTATTTTGTTGCGAACGCTATTGTTCGCGTACTCCACGGTGCGTGAACGAGACACTGATGTCCAGCGACTTCGCCGTGACCTGTCGTAGATATTGCTGGCATGGTACTGTGGATTAGCGCAGAACTGCTATATATTTTTAAACTATTGTAGTGCAGGCATACACCGCAAAGCGCAGGGCACGCTTTGAGTTCCATGCAGTGTTACGGTTTGGTTTTCTATGTTATTGCAGTGACTAGACACGTGCCAATACCCAAAAGCTTGGGGAGCCCGTTGATTGTCACTAGTTTAAATCGAGGGCCCACGCAGTGCTATTGTCGAATCTGTGCGCTGAATTTGAACATTGTCACCATGGGGCAAAAATGTCTATCACTACAACAATGCAATCCTCATGACTACGTCATCACGCTTTGTGAACGAAAAAGTTCCCTTTTTATTTTTAAAATAGCGCGGCAAAAGAAGGTGATTGGTCAGTAGCGTTGCGTGCGAGCGTATTTGGGTCCATTTAGTGAGAGTAAGCTTTTTTTTTAAAGTGGGAAATGCCAAGTATCTTTGCACTGTTCTTTAAGATGAAATAGTGCATAATAAATCATAGTACGGTACGTTAAGAAACCAAAGTATACGGTCGCTTTTCTGTCCCTAGCGTCCATTTTTCCTCTTCGATGTCATTCATAGGATCTCTGAGATGGGCCGACGTGGTCGGACTCGGAATCATTGTTTCCACTTATCGTCAAAGACATTACCTTCGGTACTATTTTTTTTTTTTTCTGGGGGACAAGCAGCAGTGTTTTTGAGCGGGATGTCGATTAGGTGGTCGACAAAGGGCCGTCCTCAAAGGCGCACCCCAACCCAATACCGTCGAGTTGGTCTTGGGCCACCCAGAACACACACGACCACGACGCACGGTTGGCGAAGTGATGTGGGCTGGTGCACGCATACGTTCTCCCATTAAGGAACTAATTACAAAAGCTTCGAATAAATTCTTTGAATCGTGTAAGGTCTTTGTGTAAAAAAACTTCCACAAGGGTGACTGACAGTACCGAGTAACTTTTTCAGGGAAATAAAATTAATAAAAAACATGTGGTAATATTCCTGCGGACATTAGGCAAAAAAAAATCATAATTCCGCAGTACGTCAACTTTGCGGCATACCATCTCTTAGTTTCTTCCGAAAAACATATCAAGTTCCAGTTGCTTATACTTGCATATAGAAACATACCTAAAAAAAAAGGTCTAGCCAGATGTTTCTTTCGGCCCAGCGGAAGTTCGGTCACGTTTTGTTTATATGCGGGTTGCAATTCCATGTATTGATGTCGGAAGCTGGGGCAGCCCATAAAGTTTGGCATTTTCTTTATTGCCTGCATGACTGCTTATCTATTGCCGGGTCTTCTGTGGAAGGTGAAATAAAGAAATACGTGATTCGACTCGGACCTCGGTCAGCTCTGAACGACGTACGTATATAAAGGACATCCATGACGTCAATTCCGCTTCCATGTGTGAATGCAGCCATATCATTTATCAAAAAGATGACCAGCCACATATACGAACCATTTTCAATATATGCAGAGACTCGCTCTCAACTGAGTCAGTAAACCGTAAAGGGAGACTTACTTAATTCTTATTAAGTTGACCCTTCAGACTCGGTGGCGCCAGAGATGTTGCTGGTGTCTCGCGGCGGAGTCCCGAGATCGGTGCTCTTGTCGTTCCCGCCTTAAAGCCGGGCGCCGGCAGGGGGAGCTGCCAGGTTCAGGAGGAAGTCGGGTAGCGTCTGACAGAACTCCATGGCGGCACCTGAAGTGGCGGATAAGGGTCCCGGACGCATGAGACGAAGTGGGCGTGATACCTCGCCAAAATCTGGCCAGGGCTCAGGTCCGGGGTCCGGAGTACTAGGCAGTACTAGGCCCCCCACGGTCGAGCAGTAGCCACCGGGGTCGACTCTCACAACCACGGTCGAGGTGTCCAGGTTTCCCGCAGGAAAAACAACAACGGTGGGCGGCCGGACAAATCTTCCTTGGGTGGCAGGGGCCACCGCACAAACGGCACCACTTTGGTGACGACGATGTGCCACAGGCACCAGAGGAGTTGGGGGACGGACTTGAATCCGCTGTAGACGGTGGCTGCGGGACCTCAGCCTTGGTTAGATGTCCCGGAACTGCTGTTCTGGGAGCAGCAGCATCGATGCTGAAGCACTGGAGTGGTGCCTCGGACAGGAATTCGACGTCTGCCGTAACGTCTTGACGTCGATGCTCAGGCTGTCGCTCCGGAAGATCATCGGGCGACGCCACGGCGTAGATGGTCGACCGGAACTCGTCGTAGTCCGGGAAGGTGCCGCCTTGCACGGGTGTCCTTGTCGGACCAGGCTCTGCTTGACGACGCTGGTAGTGGCCGCGGGAAGAGGACCGCCACTCAACAGGAAAAGCCAGCTGTTGCTGGTAATGGTCACCCCTTGGACGACTCCGGCAGACGCTGGCGAAGTGGCCCGCACGGCCACACAAAAAGCACGTAGGTCCGGATGCCGGACAATCTTGCCGGGCGTGGCTCTTGCGGCCAGAAAAGAAACAAAAATAGCATGACGGGCGCGCGCGAGCTCCTCGATAGGGGTAAAACGTGCGGCACGAACGACGGCGGATGAATGGGGGAGGAGGTCTCAACTTCCGACCCGACGGGGAAGCAGGAGAAGGAGGAGGAGAAGGGCACTCACATCTTGGGAAAGGAGAATGCTGAGTCCTTCGTGAAGATGATCCCTCGCCATCTTGGTCATGCTGATCGCTCAACGGTTGAATAAAACGGCCATCTTGGGCACGCTGTACCACGTGCGACGCGTTTGGATCTTGGTTTGACAAACATCGAAAAAAATTGCAATCTCGAGATGTCCGCTCGAAGTGCTGCGCTAGTTGGACAGTACGATCGAGGCTAGGTGCGTTAGCGTTAACTCTGTTGGACTCTCGGATTAAACGATGCTGCACTTCTGTGCTGTGGATCCCCGAAATGAATATCTCCGCGACGCGGCTCTCCAAAGACTCGCCATAATTGCAAAAAGAAGCTAGGCGTCTGAGCGCCCCAAGATACTCGAGGACGGGCTCTCCTGGACCTTGCACTCGGTTGACGAACTTCCTACGCTCAACAAGGATGTTCCGAGCGGAAGCGAAATAGGCCCGTAGATCTCAAGTCTTGAGCAGCGCTCCAGGTGAGCAAAATAGAATATTTGGCTCGCGTTTCGAACATGCGTGTCAATACGCTTCCCCACTAGAGTGTTTTTTCCACTTCGTTCCATTCCAAGTGCCAAGTGCCAGCGCAGCAGGGCTACAAGAGCGAGCTGCGAGCTTTCAGCGTCCCTGTCAAGCACGCGCGCTCGTGCACTGTGAGCATCCTTCAGGAGGACGAGCTTTTGCGAGTAGGTTCGGCTTTGCTATCCCGTAAAGTGAGACATACGTGCTTGCGGAAACCATGAAAGAAAGCAAAGATGAAAGGAATGTTTAATGGGACACTGCGGCCGCAAGCTAAATAATTATTTTTAGTGTCTTTTTTTTTTTTTTTTTTGCTATCGCGCATTTTTAGATGCTTGCATTCGAGCGTGGCACGTGCAAAATCGAACGTTACAGAGTTACCTGAATGGTTCAGCCATCATAACATGGTCGCGTCTTGCGGATGCGCTCGCGCCCCCTGCCCCAGAGAAACGGGTCTATTGGTGTCCAGAGCGGACAACCAGAACCTGAAATTCATCTTGTGCCGCGTTAACGGCTGGACCCGCTCGGTTGAACGCATCAATGACGCGATTTCCTTTTTCTCCCAAGAAGGATAATAAAATTGGCCTCTTTCGTTTCGACGGAAAATCCTCGGCGTCGATCGCCTCGAGGTAAGTGAGGAAACCTCGCTTCCACGTAAGCCACGGCATTGACGGTTCGCCGGGCGTCGGGAGAAAGTCGGCGGGAACGCGACCCTGCGCAATCGCCATCTTGAATGCAACAGTTACTCCGCGTCTAGACGCGGAGTACGGTTCGGACAGAAAAAAAAAACAAAAAACTCTGCGGTGGGTGGCTGTTATACCAAACTAAGAACTCCCGCCGTGGGACAAGCAGCACCGGCTACGGCGCGGTGGGTTACAAAATGCAAGTACAAAAACAATCCCACGCTCGTTCGCCGAAGATGTCGTAAATGACGGCCACCTGTGAAAATAAAAAGGAGCCCTACGTGGGCCTGTGGAAAAGACGAGGTCTCACATGACGAGGTGGTGAGGGGAGGACCGTCGGAGCCCAAGGGCGGGAACGCCCCGGAAGAGAAGACACGTCAGGCAGGGTCAAGGTCCAAAGACGTACTGATTTACATAACGGTAAACAAACCTGGGGGTTAAGCGCCATGGGGACGTGACCCTGACAACACATGCACCATGGTGGACAGTGGCGCCATCTAGGTAGTGTGCATAGGACTTGCGAAAAATTCAAATACAACACGAACCAGTGAAACAGAATGCATCAAAAAGGCTTGCGCAATCGTACGGAGAAGTAGCGTGCCATTTCGTTTGCTCGTTGTTCTCGCGGAAATGTATTTCTCGACTCAATACGCCCCTTTCTCCCCAGCCATTCGCTCAACATACTGAGTTGAATGGAATGGTTAACTCACCATGTACTTTATGAGAAAGCAGAGGGTGGGGGTATCAGTTCCCGAGTGTTTTAACACGCCGAGGCTCAGAAATGTTGAAGCGAAAGCTCGCGATGTAAAATCCAGGGATCATGGGTTCAACCTGCATTTTTGCCCGGATTTCGATCTGCACGAGCATCCTATAGCAGCGTCTGTTTGTGTATCACTACTGGGTGATGCCGAATAAAGACCCCAGGCTGGCAGTGGCACTGCAGTGGCAAAATTTCTCACCTACAGAAGACACACCAGAGGGGCTTACTAACTTCACGCTGTCTTAACATATATATATATATAAATTACATTTTGTTAGGGAGCGAAATCCCTACTATTCTTTAGAAAGCAAATTTGTTATAAAAAAACGGCTAGACATTTTATAATCATCAGCTCAGGGGGAACCTTGCTTTTCCACGGTCAAAGCTTTCTTGAAATTAAAATTTGGCGTAGCGCTAGGGTGAAGAACGGTCGTCTAATTCTTTTATTAGAAACGGCTACCCTACTGAAAGAAAACATTTGAAATTCAAACTGGTCGACCCGTTTGAGTCAGACCTGTCGATCCGTTTGAATCAAACGTGGTTATGGGATACGGGTACCCGTTTGAAACGATACCCGTTTGAAACGGTACCCATTTGATACGGATGCCCGTTTGATACAGGTGCCCGCTTGATACGGGTGCCCGTTCGACCTGGCACGTGACCGTGTGCCGTTCGGATTCGCTAGCCCTAAATAAGTATCGTCTGGGAGGTTGGTTATTTTAAACTTATTTAAGACGTCCCGAAACTCATAAACATATCTATGACATAGAGAAAACATGTAAAACAAATGCGCTCGCGTAGGTGCTTGCAAATGGACAGGAAAACAGACACAAAGGATTGTTTTCAATTCTCCAAGTTCATTACCTCTTCTGACGACAAGCACAACCGTGCAAGCGATCTGTGAAATGCGCGAGGCACTTTAAGCTTTTATACAACTGAGAAGATTGCAAAGCAAACAAGAACCGAGGAAATTCTAGACTATACAGCTAGACGTTCGGGGAAATTATTTTCCCAGCCGCCGCGTTAATAGGCGCTGCATAATTCTACGGATAACGTGGAAGAGTACGCGTAGAAGAGCGGTCAATCGTTGCCAACACGTATTTTGCAGTGCACTTACCATAATAATAGCGGACTTGAAAGATGTAATCCGTTATATTTGTCGTCACGGTCAAAGCAGGACAACCACACAAACACAAAAACGAGAAGGAAGGCTCGTTGAAGTTTCAACACGATGCGGCGCACAAGCTGTCATTTGCCGAACCCAGCCAAAGTGGAAGAATTCCTGACTTCTTTAAAGAATCGCTTGTTGCCGATATACGCGCAGGACTTTTCAAACATTTGGTGCACATCCCATACGTTGTCGACAGACATTCTTATAAGACCGCAGGGAAAGGCGGCAGATCGAAGCAGGCAGGACAAACGAAGTTGCAACGGAAAACAAGCAGACAAAGAAACAAGGGACAGTCAACGCGCCCGCAGCCGGATCTGGCTATGCTTATCAGCGCGGTGCGTGCCCTACTCTCTCTCTGGTCACGTGACAGAGCCGACCAGAGAGGAGGAAGGGGGCGACGGCGAGGTCAAGGAGCAAGACACCGGGACACCCCACCCCCCTCCCCCGCCACCCTCTCCTCATGCATTCTATAAAAAAAAAAAAAAAACACACACACACACAATTTGTTGTTGGTTTTTTGTGGCAATGCAGTCAATGCTAGGGGAGAGGGTCCACGGACCGCTGTACCACGGCCACTTGATCCCCCCTGTTGGTGCGGCCTGCCGATGTTTTTCCGAAAACAGAAGAGCGCGCGTGAGAGGAGAACTTCTCCCATTTTCCGTGGGGGCGCTGCACATCGGTGAGCGGTAAAGTCCCTTGATGTTTTTTCACTGCGTTTTACAAGTACCGTCATTCTTTGCCCTCGCCGACATCTGTTTCTATTGGAGGAGAGCGGTGTCACGTGATTTCCAGAATTGTCACCACTTCCGTCCGCCATTTGCTTCCAAGCTGCTCGGCTCGCTCGGCTTCTCCGTCCGCTCGCGTGTTACGTGAT